AGACAGTCACTGACAGATTCTGCAAGATAAAAAGATGAGCAGTATACTTTCCACAAGAGAGTCACTTCAAACTCAGGAACACACTTAAGGCATGATATAGCTGGAGTTTTCTCCAGTCCTGCCTGGTCCACAGTCAGGACAAATCTCTCTCACCTGCCAGTCCCACAGCCACTTTGACCCAACCAAGTAAACACACAGAGACTTATATTGTTTAAATTGTTTGGCCTAATGGCTCAGGCTTCTAGCTATCCAGTTCTTACGTCCATTTCTATAAATCTATACCTTGCCACGTGGCTCGTGGCTTACCGGCATCTCCATGTGCTGCTTGTCATGGTGGCAGCTGGCAGTGACTCCCCCCACCTTCCTGTTCTCTCAATTTTCCTCTCTGTTAGTCCCGCCTATACTTCCTGCCTGGCCACTGGCCAATCAGTGTTTTATTTATTGACCAATCAGAGCATTTGACATACAGACCATCCCACAGCAACATGAAAATAAGAAAGTATACAAAAAGACAATTTAAGTTGCTTTTATAAAGTTCAGTAAAACTGAAAAATCCTTAGCTAAGAAAAAAGAAGCTAAATTATCATATAAAACATGACTCTATGAAATACTTTATGTAAAAAAAAACTGTTATAAAAGACGAAAAGTACATAGTGATAAAATAGCCAATCCATCAAAAAATATCATACCTATAACTGTGCATATACCAAACATCAGCACCAACTATATGGAACAGACAGAACTTTAACTCCAGAAGAACCAGAAAAAAGCTTGAATGGCAAGTACTGTTCTGGGGCCCTGTGCATGGAGTGATAGGTTGGAATGCTCTACCATAGCCTTTTCAGTTCCTTGGTCTCTCTTGCAATCATGGAGCACTGTTTGCCTCTTGTTTGCCTAGTTGGACTATGATAGTTGTGTTGAACATAGGTAGATATATTTCTTATCATTATACCCAGAACAATACTGCCTAACAAAGATCTATATACAATTTACATTTCAATGGCAGTATAAGCAATTATTAAGCATACAGTAACAGGCTAGAGCATCAGTAGGTTTGAGTATTTGTGATGGCCCTGGTGCCAGTCCCCTGTGGATGCCTCGAGGTGACTCTGCAATGCATTCTGATGACAGGAGTAGAGCACATGTTCCTTTCAATTGGAACATTGTCCAGGGTTGAGAGAATATCAGGTCGCAAAATAAGTCTCAACAAATTTAAGATGTTGAAACCATACCAAGTAGATTGTGTGTTGAAACCATACCAAGTAGATAGTGACCACAATGAAATGAAACTAGCAGTAATAGCAGAATGAAAACTAGTAAAATCAGAAGTAAGTTGGAGTTAAACAAAACACTTCTGAACAACTAGTGAGTTAAAGAAGAAACTCAAATGAAAATAGAAAAATTGCTTGAGACAAACAAAAACAAAACACAGCATACTGAACCTTACATGATACCCCAGATAGCAATAATGAAGGTTTATAGATCTGACTGAGTATGTTGAAAAATATCCTAACAATATAACTCCATACATTGTGTAACTTGATCAGACTAAGCCCAGAGTCAGCAGAAGGGTGAAACAGTAAGCATTTGAACATGAGTCCATAAAAGAAGGATTGTAAACTGGGAGACTGTGAGATGCCAGCTCCGACCTCCTCCACCTATTGAATGGTTCTTGGATGGAGGAGAGAGGAATGAGAGAATATTAGGTAAAAAGATAGACCTAGATGATGAAGAGAAAGATAGAGACACAAGATAGCTTTGGGAGGGCCCTGGATCAATAACCAATCGCCCAGAACTTTATTCAAAAGAGCTTTTTATAATATATCAAGGGGAGAGGCAAAAGACCTCTCCCTTGCAAGATCAAAGCAAAACATACAGCCAAGTGCAGATCCTTCCAAACACCTGGTAAACACACCCATGGTCAAAACACCCCATTATGCAGACCTGCTGGGTAAAACAAGCTCAGATTCTCTGATCTTGAGTAATTTGGGCCTCCACAGGAAACATGTCAAAAAATTTAAAACTGCGTTTTTATGATAAATAAAACTGACAAATTTTGAAATGCAAAGAGAAAAAAAAGAGAGCTGACCCAAATTTGTGAAATGAAAAAAAAAAAGCACAGAATTTACAACTAATACCACAGGGAAAATATGAGAAACCAATATGAATAATTATATATATCCATAATTGATAGGCCAAAAATCTGAGTAACCTGGATGAGATGGATCAATTTCTAGAAACCTGTAACTCACCCTAGGCAGTATCATGAGGAAACAGAAAATCTGAACAGCTATCAGCTGCAAGAGAATTGAACCAGAACTCTAACATCTCTCTGAAGACAAAATAGTGGACAAGTCTACCAAACACTTGAGGAAAAATCCAGGCCATTGTTTCACAAACTCTTCAAAAATCTGAAATTGGCACACTTGCAGATTCTTTTTATAAAGTGAGGATTTCTCTGATACTAAAGACACTGCAAGAAATGAAAAGCAGCATTGACCCTGGTTAATATAGAAGAATACCGCCAACAAAATACTAGCAAGCCAAATTCAAGATAATGTTGGAAAGATCACATGTTATAGTTACATAGGGCTTATCACCAGCTCAAATAGCTGGTTCTCTCTCTCTCTCTCTCTCTCTCTCTCTCTCTCTCTCTCGCTTTCTCTCTCGCTCTCGCTCTCTTCCCCTCCCCTTCCCTCTCCTCCTTCTTCCCTCGCTCCTTCTCCCTCTGTCTCCCTACATATGTATATTTGTGTATGTGCACATGTATGTGTGGTGTGTGTGTGTGTGTGTGTGTGTGTGTGTGTGTGTAATTCTGATACATTAACAAAACAAAGGATAAAATCACATGTTCATCTCAAGAGACATAGAAAGAGTGCTTGACAAAATTTGACATCTGTCTTGGGGTTTTATTGCTGCAGTAAAACACCATGACCAAAAGCTAACAGTGCATCGACAAAGAAAGTGAGGGCAGGGATTCAAGGCAGAAACCCAGAGGAAGGAACTGAAGCAGGGATCACAAAGAAATGCTGCTTACTAGCGGTCTCCTGATGGCTTGCTAAGGTTGCTGTCTTATACAACTTAGGACCACTTGTCCAAGGTTAGCCCTGGGCGGCACCCTCCCACATCAATCAATAATCAAGAAAATTCCCCTACATACTTGTCTGACAGAGGCATCTTCTGAACTGAGGCTCCTCTTTCTAAACTGAGTTTGTGTTAAGTTGACAAAAAAAACTAACTAGCATGACACATTTCCTGATTTAAAAAGACATACTGAACCAATCACAGAAGGAAATTACTTGAGCATAATGAAGGCCATGTTTTAAAAGCTTGAAGATATATCCTAACCAATGATGATCAACTGAAACCTTTGTCAGTGAAATCAAGAATAAGTCATCGGTGCCCATTTTTACCACTTCAGTTAATGTAGTAGTAGAGGGTCTAGCTGGTTCTATGCAAGAAAAAATAATCAATTAATTAATAACCTAATTAATTAATTGTCTTAATCTGTGTTCTATTACTGTGAAGAAACACCATGACCAAAGCAACTCTTATAAAGAAAAACATTAAATTGGGGCTGGCTTATAGTTTCAGAGGTTTAGTCCATTAGCATCATGGCTAGAAGCATGGCAGCTCTCGGTAGACATGGTGCCAGAGAGGTAGCTGAGAGTTCTACATCTGAATAGGCAGGCATCAGGAAGAGAGCAAGACATTGGGTCTGGTTTCAACATCTGAAACCCCAAAGCCCACCCCCAATGACACAATTCCTCCAACAAGGCCACACTTCCTAATCTCTCTCAAGTAGCACTACTCCCCAATGATTGAGAATTTAAATATATGAGTCTATAGGAAACATTCCTATTCAAACCACCATATTTAATTAAGTAATTAATACACCCACAATGAAGAAGAACAAATAGAGTTTTCTCTCTTCATAGATAACTTGATTCTATATGGGGGAAGGTAATATTGGGAGGTTGCCTCTCAGATAGTTTCCATCATTCAAGATGAAAAGGTTTTAGAGATATGATGTACAACGATGGGTGTGTAGTTAGCAGTGTGAGCTATACTGCACTATAAACTAGAGGATTTTAATATAGTGTGTTTCCTGTAGGGGGCTTTCTGTGGTAATAATTGAAAATCAAATAGAATGAAGCTTTCAAAATTGAGAGAAAACAATGACCAGCAAAGAGAATCTGAGTCATATAATTGTGTGTTCATTGTATTCTTTCCACTTTTGTCTGGTTTTGAAAAAGGAATCTGATTAATTCCATAATGAAAGACTGGATAAGTAGAAACTTAGAGGGATGTGTATAAAGGTTTCATTAGAAGCATAAAGAGAACTTGGTACATATGTAGGGGCAGAGCCTACAAATACTTGCCTCCCTCCTTGTTTTGGGGAAGTAGAGCCAACTTCAGAAAAAACACATATAAGTTCAGTGGCAGGTAGCACTCTCTAACCAAGGGAGGCTTTCTGTGATACTATCCCTCCCATCTTTGTGGCTACCTGAATATTGAAGTTGTGGTGGATTAGCTAGATCTTACCTAGCAGCAGTCAGATTCCATATGTCTTGTTCTCTAGGACCCTTATGTTTGAGGAGGTCAAACTAGTCAGGAATGGTGGCATATTCCTGTAACCTCTGCACTCAGGAGGCTGAGGCAAAAGGTCATGAGTCCTAGGCCAATCTGGTCTACATGGCGAGGCACAGTATTTTAAAACCTAAAAGAAAAAAATCAGTAAAATACCCTAAAGATTTTTGCTGTTTGTATTAGACCAGCTGAACTCTGCATGGAATTTTCCTTTATTTTTAAAATGTCTGTAATGTAGACACACTGCTTTCCATTTAAGCATTAAGTCAAGTGCCTGTGGTACTGGGTCAGTTTTTCCGTAAGTATATCAATGTATCTAAAAGTCTTAAAGTCTTTGGTGTTTTTTTTTTTTCCTGAGGGATTGCATGATTGTTTGAACTTGTATTTTCTCTTTGTATTTAAAATTATAGATCATCAAGTTATTGGACGGAAAACGATCTCAAACTGTGGGAATCTTGATATCTAGTTTACATTTGGAAATGAAGGATATCCAACAGGGTAAGTCTTTCCCATCATTTCCCTCTGGCTTTTGAATTCTCTGTAGCTTTTCCATGCATGTTAATTATAAGCTTGCAGCTTTACTGTGATGTTTTTATATGAGTATTGAGGTATTTCTTATTTCTCTTCTGTTGTCTATATCATCCCTCATGCATTTCCAGTTAATCCACTTCCTATTCCCTAACAGTCCTCCTTTAAAAGTCTTCTGAGCACTCTGTTTTGAAAATTTTCAAACATACCAAAAAGTTAGAATGTCTGGTAACAATACCCAGTTAGAATCCATTGTTGCTTTTGTTTGATATAAGCAGTCCCTGCACCAACTAGATTGTTATGAGAAAGATCTCTCAGACATTTTGTAATTCATCTCGCAAAAGCATTAGTACTACCAATGAAAGGTGAAAGGACTTTCCCAAAATACAACTTTAGCACCATTATCTTGTCTTAAAAATGATTAATAAAAATTTCTCGGTATCTTCATAGATGCAGCTATCATTTACTTGGTTGGTTATGTACTTGTTAATGCACCCTTTCTTTGGTACCTATTTTCAGTGAGGACCCCAAAAGACACTGTACATGTCATTGAGGTGTGTCTTAAATTTCTTTTAATGTATATTTTTCTGTGCGCTGTTTTCATTTTGAGTTTTACCTTGGAAATTCATTTGTTGAGGAAACCCACTCACTTGCCTTACAGTTTCCCACTTTGATATTTTGCCAATTACATTAACATGTTTTATCTCTCACATTTGTCTATCCTCTTGTGTTTCCTGTGCAGTATTAGTTTGGTTTAGATTTACACTGGGTAACTGAGGAATTCTTCATAGACGATGTTTGTTATATATACATGACTTCTTTGAAGTTAGTATTGAGTGGCTCGGGAGGTGACTAGGCACTGAGGATTTTTGGCTAGGTTTATTCCTTCATTATGAATATATAAGATATTGATGTATGGATTCAATCATTTTTATTGTAGATGGAATATGTCTATATAGAAAATCACATAACAACCACTTGATTTTGCCATTGTCTCCCACCACCCCCCACTTCGTTCTTCAAATGACAGCATTTCACTTTGTTATCTTTGGCGCAGTTTTAAAATAAAAGCATTTAAAGAGGTTGATGCATAGACTGGCTAGGAAAAAATGGAATTGAGAGGAAGGGAGAAAATCCCACCTTGATTTCTAAACTTGAAAATTTTGTCTTTCATGTTGGTTCCTCAGAAAGACATATGAATAAAAGTAATCTTCAGAACCTGAACTCTGGAAAGATGACTTCCTAAATAAAATGCTTCTCAATATAAGTTTTAAGATGTTTATTTATTTTTATTTTGTATGTATGGATGTTATATATGCATGTATGTCCATGTACCATATGTATACAGTGCCCATGCAAACCAAAAGGGCATCGAGTCTTCTGGGACTGGAGTTATAGCTGTTGTTAATCACCATGTGGGTGCTGGGAACTGAGCCCAGGTCCTCTGCAAAAGCAACAATTGCTCTTAAACACTGAACCATCTCTCTAGCCCCTTTTTATTATAATTTTAAAAAGAATGTTTTATTTGGGGGCTGGAGAGATGGCTCAGTGGTTAAGAGCACCGACTGCTCTTCCACAGGTCCTGAGTTCAATTCCCAGCACCCACATGGTGGCTCACAACCATCTGTAATGAGATCTGGTGCCCTCTTCTGTATACATAATAAATAAATAAATCTTTTTAAAAAAAAGAAAAAACAAACAAAAAATTTTTTAAAAAAGAATGTTTTATTTGTATACATTTATCTTCATAAAAGTAGACCAAAAGGCATCATGTCTCTTGTGTCTGACATTAAAACAATATTCCCCCTTTTTCAGCCATCAATTAAATGTTAGCCTTTACTTAGATATGTCACTTATAACATGAAGGGGTTTCAGTACAGTTTAATGACACAAACACTTGGAAACAGCCCTTCCCTTAAGGTTTCTGCCCCTGTTGCCCAAAGTCATTTTACTCCGCCACTGCTCAGGAGAAGGCTTCTGAAGTCACTAAAGATCCTTCCTCACATTACTTTTCCTTTCAAAATGGATTTGGTAGGAGATTACAATTTTGTTGCAATACAAAAAAAATGAGTTTATTAAAGATATTAAAACATTTTAAGTAAATGATAGTCACAGAGTATATAAATAGGCTGATTTTTTTTAAAAAATTACTTTTTGGCTTAATAATAGAACCAAACATGTAAGTGTGTATATTAAACTTGAAAAATGTCATTGTTGATGGCAGTTTGGAACAGTTTCAAACACGCTCTGGTGTTTGAAAGGCCTACTATTGAAATTAAAAGGTTTCATTGGCTTTAGGACCTTTTAGAAGGAAACTTTCAATCAGAATTTGATAGTCCTTTGATGAGAAACTCCCATATAGGGTATAATCATTGGAATGAGAAAATTCAACAACTCTGGTACAAGAGTTTTGCTCTTAACCTGTGCTTCTCACATGCTTGGTAGATGCCAGGAAGATTTGATTTTATCTCACAATATGGATTTTCCAGCTTTCAACAACCCCTGAAACTTTGTTCAGTTCCTATTGCATATGTATCACTGAGTATGACAGATTGCCATATAGATAAGGGGCATTTGAATCATGTGAGATAGCAGTTACCAATGCAGGGCCATACACTTTTCCATGGCATTACAGTCCCATTGGACTGGATAGTCATTGTGAAGTGAACAAGATTTTAGTTTGTCTGGACCTTCCCAGGTCTCCACTCTAGGCAAGAACGTGTGTATGTGGATTAAACATGATCCTTTGTTTCAGCATTGAAAACCCTAATCATAGCATCACAGACTTCTATGTCTTGTATGTATGATTGTAGATTTTTCTCTGCCACAGACACTTTGGTTAGTGTGGTGGTTTGGATGTAATTGGCCCCCATAATCTCAATCTCATAATCTCATTAGGAGATGTGGCTTTGTTGGAGTGGGTGTGGCCTTGTTGGAGGAAGTGTGTTATTGTAGGGGTGGGCTTTGAGGTTTCCTATCCTCAGGATTCTGCCCAGGGTCTCAATCAATTTCCTGTTGCTTGCAAGATGTAGGACTCTCAGCTACTGTGCTGGTACCATGTCTGCCTGCATGCTGCCATGCTCCCTACCATGATGATAATATCCTGAACCTCTGAACTGTAAACGGTCCCCCTAAATTAAATGTTTTCCTTATAAGAGTTGCTGTGGTCAACAGTGTCTCTTCACGGCAATAGAAACCCTAACTAAGACAGTTATACTCTACATAGTTGGCTCCTTAGTTGTAAAACATGAATCTCCGTGCCATTTCTTCATATAATAATATATACCAGATGAATATAGCAAAATCACCAGAGGCTATGTTATTAATTATTCCTTTAGAGTCATTGACTGACACTGGTGTCTGAATGAGCTTTCATTCTGAATCCAAGTCTGATTGTGAATGGAATATACTTGGCCCTGTGCTGTTGTCCTGTTAAAAGAATACCTCATGCTGATGCCAGCCTGAAACATTAATGTTCATGTGAGGGGACTGAAGCAAGATCTGATTGGAGGAGCCCAACTTACAGCTAGGCAAACCTTCAAGGCTGATATGGCCAGTTAAGAGCATATCCTTTCACATTCTAGATGTAGGATATGTCAGGCTGCAAAAACAAAAGAAACAAAAGGTGTTAATTTATTCTTTTCAGAGTCCCAAGAAATAGTGTATATAACCTGAAATCCAGTACAGAAAAGTTCACATTTATTTCACAGAAGCATGTTCTCAACTACAGCATTGGGAAGGTCCAGGCAAGCTACTATCTTGTTTTCCCTCACAAAGAATAGTCAATCCAGTGAGGCTGTAATGCCATGAAAAAGTTTAAGATTCTGAGTTGGTTCACTGCAGTATCACATGACTCAAAATGACTCTTATCCATGTGGCAATCTGTCATACTCAACAGGACATACGCAAAAGGAACTGGATAAAGTCTGTCATACGTAAAACAGTGACCATGCTTGACCATTGTTTCCTCCATTTCTTTCCACTTGATATGATGTATATTTATGCTGTTTCCCATGTAAGATGTGATCTATCCTTCAGCACATGCCTAACAAACATAATAAACATATTTTGAGTAAGAGACAGGTAGATGATGGTATGCGTGCAAAGAAACAAGCACAGATCAATCCTGAAAATTAAACACCTGATTCCTGGGAAAATGTGCTCTTCAGCTTGCCAGTAGAGGGACCTGTCAGCATCCTGAAGCAATTCAGGGTTCCTGTTTTCTAAATGACAGTGACTTTTCAATCTGCCTTGCTGAGATTACATCTCTCTCTCTCTCTCTCTCTCTCTCTCTCTCTCTCTCTCTCTCTCTCTCTCTCTCTGTCTACCTACCTATCTGCAGTGCTGAGGATCAAACACACAATCTTGCACTTCCTCGGTATTTGCTCTACCACTGAGCTTCAATCCCACCTGTTACTATTTATGTATCAAGTGTACCATTAGGTAGTCTGATATTAACTAGGTTGGCTTTTAGAGGAGCAAACTTGTTTGCTTTATTTTAAAGATTAAACTCTTCTCTGTGATCCACTATCTATAAATAAATTGTTATACTGTGAAATTATGGCACTCTAAATAGCAAGGCAGCATATAACAAAGACAATTCCTGTACATTTATATCATGTTTCAGTGAAGTTCTCTGGTTGTTAACACTGCTTACAACTAAATGAACTAATGAACTCAAATCACAATTTAAAGTCTTATTTTCATATTTTCTGGTATTTAATTTCAATTTTGAAAAAAAAAGATTAAACATTATTATACTAAATAGAATAGATTCTGTTCTAAAAAAGCAAACCACCCTCCTGCCTTGCCTTTGGCATATACTGATTGCCAGCCCTGTCAGGTTCTGCATTAGGACCAGACTCTAAGCATTCTCAGGAGCTCACTGGATGTGTAATCAGTTAGAGGTCCCAAAAGAGTTGGCTGTGAAATCACAGCCATGGTGTCCTGTAAGACTTGAGATGAGTCCT